CGGGGTCTTCCCCATGGCTCTGCAGCAAGACCCGCACAGCGTCCTCCATCCCCGACTCGCACCCCATCTCTGCCGCCGCGGCCGCCTCCAATCCTGCCCCGTTCTCGAGCTCGTCCTCGAGGCAGCCAGCGTCAACAGACCCCATGCCGCCGAGCCGACGAGTGAGACCGACCTCTAGATAACGAAGGACGCAGGATGGCGAGGAGGAGAACCACCAAAAGGCCTTGCTACTCGAGGTGTGTGGATCGACGCCGCCTTCTCTTACAACGCGATCGATTAAGCTACGGGCAGAACAGAACGCATCCTTCCTATTACCAACCTAACTATCTCTCGTCTCTAAATTTAAGTAAATTAAAAATATTAAAAAATAATTAGAAATTTTTTGGATTCATGGAAATAATAAAGGACAATAATTAATTAATTAATTTTTTTTGCTCTGCTTATGTGAAAGGATATATATAATATAACAAAGAATTTTGATTTTTTATGAACGTAGACAAGATTGCGATAATGAGATTTTCATATTTGATTCCACAGTATTTATTTTCCCAACAAATTATTGAATTGAATAAATAATATAATAATACTATAATGGAAGAATTTTGTTGAGTTACTCGTAAGTTTCGATCGATAGTACATAGAGTGGTCCAACGGATTCACTCGTTGGATCCTTTCATACACACACACACAAATACATACATACATACACACATACGGAGATCAACTCAGAAGTGGTCTTAGGGACAAAGATTTGAAACTGGAATCACTATCACAAGAAAAAACATTTGATATAATATTCTAAATCCATCGATTAAATATACGGACAAAAGCCCTGAAAATTTGTACCATTATTTTAATTTATCGCGATCAAACCTGTAAACAAAATATAGTACAATAAGGATACTCCCCCTTCCCACCCAAACAAAAAGAGAAGAAGCTAAAATTTTGAAGTAAGCGACACAAGGGTGAACAGAAGATCGATGGATGGATCAGACAGACAGTGGACGTTGCACACCATTAGAGTTGGATCCATCAGAAGGTTTTGTAGGGTTCTTGGACTTCCTCTTGAGAACTATAAGCCAGGTAACAACCTCCAAGAACAAGGCAACACCACCAAGAATGCAAATTGCAATGATGTAACCCACTGTCCATTTATGATCAATACTCAAGATCTTGAGGCCCTTGAACACATTGACAATGCCCAAGACAATGACAGTGTATCCTACCAAGTAATGGTATATGTTCCAATAGAATCTGTATTTGTTGTCCTTACTCGGCCTCATAAATAGTGCAAAAACCTATTAAGCAAAAGAATTAAGCCATAAGAAAAATCAAACCATCGAAACATGTTTTGAGTCAGCCATCTCAGATAAGAACCGATTTTAGCAGAAAAATTCAACAGAAAGAATCTCAGTAAAAGAACTTAGTTCTTGAGAAACTAAACCTATTTCACCACTGTCTGCTAGGTTGGGCATATGGGAAAATGCATTGTGTGTGTGATACATATATAAGAGCATATGCCAGTTTTTGTTGACACATCAAATGAAGAGATGTTTGTTCTTACCTGTAAGGTTGCAAGAGAGAAAAGGGCTATGCCAATGTTCCGGTGAGTGGTATACTGGATACCCTTAGATTTGCTTCCGAGATTGAGGCCAGTAGCCCAGCCACCAACTCCAACACCATAGCCGATAATCTGGCACGATACATGGAGATAAAACCATGCAGGGTCTGCGGACTTGAATGTTTTCAGATATCTAGCAAAGATCGCACCAATCGGAAGCAAGATCCCCCAACTCACAGCGTTCAAAACTCCATGCACCTATATAGCAGGCAATTACTGAACATTCAGATGTGTTTGTAATCATTGTAATAATTAGGAAATAGAAGCATCAGTACCTAAGCGGAGTTCAATTTAGCTACTAGTAAATCACGATTGGGTTCCAACTACAGACATTCTTGGTTTGTCTATCACATTCAATTTGATATCTTCAAATACCATAGATTGGTTTACCAAACCTCAATTATCTTTTTTGTATTGTTGCATTGTAATTAGTCCATCCACCAAGTCGTTTTCCTAATTATGGCAGTTCTAGCATGCAAAACCTCTGCTAATGACAAGAATATATTTCCATTTCAATCAGTAATATACAGATAATCAATCCCAGACCATACCGGGATGGGATTATCGGGAATGCAAAACTTGAAAGGCACGATATCAACAGTTAGAGCATGCTAAAACTTGGTAAACGACAACAATATATTTCCATTTCAATCAGTAATGTTGAGAGAACCATTCCCATTCCATATCAAAATGTGATTGTCTGGCATGATGCACACTTTAAATGTGCCACATGCTTGAAAGAAATCAACCCATATATGTACTGATGGAGACATACAGAACATCTATTTAGAGAGCAGAGTTGAAGGATGGCGACTGGTAACAAGAGTTATAATAACATATAAGGAACAGAAAAGAATTTACCCATTAGAACCTTATTTACATGAAAGACATATTCTTGAATGAATTATGTTGATAAGAAATGAAAATTTCTCCTTTTCAAACTATAAAAAGTGACAAAAAAAAAAAAAGAAGAAGATTGCAGATACAGCACAGAATTACACAAGAAAAAAATGTCCAAAATAAAACAAAATAGTAAATTCTCTAACTTGATTACAGAAGACCACAGTCAAAGAGTGGAGAAATGGAGTTAAACAGTGTGTACACGAAATGAATCTCTATTAAGAGTTCTGGTAATAGAAGATGGAAAAACAGCATTGTGCAAACATAAACAAGCGAGAGCTAAAATTTGAGGAAGAACAACTGACAGGGGAAAAAAAAGGAAAAACACTCTTACAAGTAGACAACACTACATCATGTATCGTAAAACAGAGCCCATGTAAACAATCAAACCACCAGAAAATCTCACAAAAAGGACGCGAGCATATTATTTTCCATATCATAAGTTCGAAAATTAAAATTTTGAAGAAATAATAGAAATTAGATTCATATTCCCAATAGAGTTTGTAAAATTTTCTACCAAAAATCTCCTCTTAAAAAGTTCATTTCAATATTCTACCTAAAATATTGACTTCGAATCGACCAAAAGGAATAACTTTAATATACGTCAATTGTCTCCCTGCCAAAAGAGAAGATCTTTTAGGGAAATAGTAAGAGGGTTCGCAAAAATTTTACTCACATTCCTTTTTCTGGTAGTGGAACCCCCGGACAGGGAGACCGCTCCCTTAACGAGATCCACCGTTCCTTTGGACTGCAGGTTGTCCTGCTGGAAGTCGTGCTTTTGGGGAACCCCATTCGCCACCGCCGACCCCACTTGCCACACCTGATTCACAACCGTCGTCCCTGCCGCCAGCTTCATCTTCCCGTAGAGCCGCGTGACTCCGCCGGAGTATTCGGCCGCCAGATCCCACGTCTTGAAGTCGATCGGCCCCTTCGCGATGGGCCCGAGCCCGGTGATGTTGTACGTCTGCACCCCCATCGCTCCGTCCGGCTGGTGGAACGCGATGAGGGCCTGGGACCCAGTCATGCCGTCGCCGGTGGGGTTGATCGCCCACGCGACCCACCCCTCCGGCTTCGCGGGCGGCGCGACGAACGCGAGGGAGAGGGTGGCCGAGGCGTTGTCGTAGGACCAGTGGAGCGAGGAGGAAAGGCGGGGGAGGTCGCTACAGGCGGCATAGACGCGGTTCGAGGAGAAGGCCACGGAGGAGCACGCACCGGCAGCGCCTGCGTATCCTACGGCGGAAAGGAGAAGGAGTAGAGATAAGCGAAACCCTAAAGCGGCCATTGGTCCAAGCAAAGCCCTACTTATCATCCTCCTCATCATCATCATCATCTTCTTCTTCTTCCTCGTGTCTCTCTCTTTGAAACGGTGGAAATGGGATTAATAATGAAGTGAGGGGATAGAAGCAAATAGAGGAAAAGCTTCAAACAGAGGCCTAATTATACTGTGGATTGCCAACGGTGGTGGTAGGAGGGGGAAGGAAAGCTTAAAGCTCGCTTTATAGCGAACGCACAGGCGGGAGGCGGAAGGGTGGAAGGCGACAGTGTGTATGTTGTTCTCGCGGGAACGTTGGAGTAGAGGAGTTACGAACGCGTGGGAAACATTTATTTGCTGCTAATGTGGGGGCCAGAGGGATTTCTTGTGCCTGTTCTGCTGCTCCCCGTGGAAACGGAGGGACGCACTCTTGGCTGCATTCTTTGCGTCCAAAACGAAAAGGAAAAGACACCGAAAGCCGATCACACAGGCGAACACCCGCGACGGGGCCCACGGTGAAAAGAAGGAAGAAAAGCAACACCCGGGTGCGTGCACGTCACGCTTGGGCGGGCGCGATGGAATCGTAGGTGGGGAAAGTGTAGTCTTTGAGTAAATATGAAATAAATGGGACAATTGTGGTGGAAAGTGGGGAAAAGTTCTACTCACACCGGCCACGCGGGGCCCGGAGGAGAGACGCATAAGAGCGACCCACTAACCATTGAGGTGGGTCCCGGTTATTCTTCAGGTACGAGGGTCGGAACGGGTAGGTTCCGCGGTCAGTTAGAACTGGAAGAAGACGGAGGACAAAGGCGGAGGGTGTACGACGGTTTGGTTTGACCTTGAGAATGACCTCCGTCTTCCGAAGTCAACTAACCATCCTCACCCACTTACGTCAGCGTGGCGTCGGCATGACGACGATAACCCGGCATTGCAAGTTTGTAACGCCTGTGTTACAAAGAACGATGAAATAAATGATAATAACAGCTGCAGTATAAGGGGAACTCAGATGAAGAGACGCGATGCCTCGTTCAGTGATGCATGAATCCATCCAATAAGGTTAAATAGACTCGGAATACCTTAATATATAGATTCCTAACTCGGCTGGAACATTAAGAAAGCATTGCAAACATAAGAAATAATCAACGGTTAAAATATGATTACTCTTCAAATCGAATTTACGAGAAACATTTCAAGCCATTATGTAGACTGCAAACATGCAACTGTTACTTGTTTTTAAATGATCTATCAACTAAATTAGTCAGCAGCAAACAACAGAATTTTCAGCTCCGCAATACAGAACAAAAATGAAATAGTTGCCGAATACCATAAGTCAATCCTGCAACAACCTCCTTGTTTAGCTAAAGGAAATCTTCATGTGGATTGAGAATACAGAAAATAGGAGACGAACGAAGCGAAGCGAAGCTACAAGGATGATGGCATAGCATACTGAGATCAACGATTCGCCTTGGCAACTCGTTCAATCTCATCCTTTTTCTTGATAGCATAGCTGTCCGAAACATGCCATTATAGTCAGTTGATGTGATAACAGTGCATTGGAAAGATGAGAAGCTCTTGAAAGTCTTACCTGTTGGAAGAACCCTTTGCCGCATTAATTAATTCATCAGCGAGGCACTCTGCAATCGTCTTAATGTTTCTAAAAGCACTTTCGCGGGCACCAGTGGTGAGGAGGTAGATTGCCTGGTTGACTCGCCTCAATGGTGAGATATCAACAGCTTGTCGTCGAACGACACCAGCAGACCCAATTCGAGTTGCATCTTCCCTTGGACCACTGATACGAAAATAACAGCATAAGAAATATGCCCATCTCCAAGAATTAGCACATTCAACCATAGGAGCAAAGCACCAGAAAAATACAGCAGTTAATATCTAGATAGAAATTAATAACCAGAAAGCAACAATTAAAAAAGAACAATTATGACATCATATGCATCAGAGAACCTCTAGGGTGCTATGGTCAACAAATTGATTGTGGCATCAAAAACTAGCACTGCAGAGTCCTGGGCAGGCTCTAAATTGAATCAGTATAAATCTTCCAAGTGAATTTTGAACTTACAAAGTCAAACCAACTTCAACAGAAAATAACTACAGTTTACTAACTTGAAAACAAAATTTCCAACTTGTTGAAACACTCCCATTCCCACACTGTGCCAGTGCGACATGCGACAATCAGCACAGGAGGCTTCCAAGTAAAGATATCTATGCAAAGTTCAGTTCTCTTCTTGTACTCCCATGTGGATGGATCACAGTACTGTACCAGCAATCACAAGTCGCTAGACAGGCATATACCCTGCTTGCTTGAGGATTCTTTGAAGTGAAAAAAGGATGGTTTTGGTCTCCCTGCAATTGGGTCAGAAAAAATGTAAACTTTGCTGAGATGACGATTACCATTTTCCAAATTGTTACCACTAAAGTTTCTTCAATCCTCGATGGCCACTTGTAGCACATTCAACTAGTACCAAAGCTACTTCTCAGCTGTAAAAAAATAAATAAAAAATCTAGTTGTGCCAAAATGTTAAGGACGAACTAGGAATTCTGTCTGATGAAATAGATATAACAAAACTTTTCTCCTTTCGCTAAAAGAAACTAACGATTATATGGCAACCAAATATTAACTATCTAATGTCCTTTTCAGTAAGACATCATGCTCATGTTTTGCTAGGAGAGATATCTAGGCTCTATTTAATCTCCAAGGAACATAAAGAAGCGAACAAGCACACAACAATAGGAGAAAAAGAAGGTAAAAAAATATTTGGTTGGCATAAGGAAATAATAAAAGCCAGGGCGAGAGAAACCCTGTATATACAATTCCATTCTAGCATTTTCATTTTCAGTGCCAAGTGGCAGATATGAATTTCCTACCATGAACTTGTTCTCTCATTTCCTATAGAGTTCCAAATAACTAGGTATTCCATGAAATAATTGGAATGGAACAACGGATTGAAATTTGAGAGAACTTCATTATTTTCCAGAGAGTGGACGAATAAATAAAAACTAGAACACATCCCTGATATGCACGAGGACACAAGCTACTAAAATTAAAGCTTTTACTTCTGTTTTGTTTCTTTATTTTGCTACCTTTTGTTGGTCTCAAACATGTATAGTGTGCATCCTTCTCAACAGTAGTTAAGAAATAGCAATTAAAGACTTGTGCAGAATGATGTAAGTTTCCTCACTTGTAAAAGATGCTCATATGTATCAATGAGATTTAAAAATTAGCTGAATTACCTGTTAATGATTGCATCCACAATTACTTGAATTGGGTTTGCATCAGTAAGCAAATGAATGATCTCCATTGTATGTTTAATAATGCGAACAGCCATTAGCTTCTTCCCATTGTTACGACCATGCATCATCAACGAATTGGTAAGTCTTTCAATAATTGGGCATTGAGCCTTACGGAACCTCTTAGCCGAGTATCTTCCTGCAGTATGTGGAAGATAGGTAGCATGTTTTGGAGGAGTCACTGCGATGTAATCTGCAAGTGAAATGTCACTGACCTGCATTTTGTGGAGAATGGGATTAATCTCATTACCGATAGCAGATGTACTAGAAGAACAAATTGAGATTGGCGTTAACTTAAAGCAATAAATGGTGAATGATGATTACTAGTCTTAACATGCAATATACAATGGGACAATGATAACAGCTTTTCAGATATTGAAAATCTAACAAATATCATTGCTTGGTTAAAGCATAATGCATTAATAGGGCCATAGGACTACATCATCCCTTTTCATTTTGGGTGTACACAAACATTTCAAGAGCAAGAGGGCAAGTCTTAGTGCATGGTAGAGGTGAACAAGACTGCATCATTCCCTTACATTTTGGATGTACATAAACATGAGGACAAGAGTGCCACAACAAGATTGCTCATTTCTGATCTAGGTGACTAGGGTTCAAGTCATCAAAATAGGCACTTTGCTTGCAAAAATAAGGCTAAATGCATTGCTCATTCAACGGGCCGCCCTTTTTTTTATCAACATTCCAAAAACATGCTGAAAATTCCAAACCCCTTGGAACACCAATTAAAAATATATCAGGAAGTAAATATGAAGCAACAGCATTCAAATACACAACATTACATGCAGATACCATGGAACCAACTCCAGACTATTTGTGCCAAAACTAATAGACCCAAGCATATAACCCCAGAGCTGTATAATAGCGTTCTCACACTTTGAGCCCCTTCCCAGAAAGATTAAAAACGACATCTATGGTCAAAATCCACGAACCTGTAATCAACATTTACTCCTAGAAATGCTTCCAACTAAAGAAGGATCAAAGATTGTCCCTTTCATCAATGTCATCGTATACCCGTCCACAATCTTACCAATCCTTTCAATTATCTGATAAACAAGAATACTGACAAATTTCTTCTTAAATCTTCATTGTAAATCGCATTTTGGATTAGTTCACCGCCTTGAACTTGAAAATGTTGTATGGTTGAACTTTCTTCACACTCCTTGTGTTGAAACCAAAGAAGAAAGAGCTTGTTTCCTACAGAGCCTCTTGCGGAGGAAGCTTGCCAGAAAACAAGAACCACCAAGATACAACCATTTTAACAGACAAGAAGAAAAAAGAATCAAAAGTTTTGTGCGGTAATAGAAAACAAAACGAAGAAGTCTACGAGCTTCCTCATCGCAAGTACTTCAAACGGATTACGGACACGATGTCGTAATTCAATTCGATCTTGCACCGAAGCTGTTAATCGTATCATCTAAGAGTAGGACAACAACCGGGCGCGGCGCGACTAGAAGTAAACAGAGTAATATGAGCCACGCAAAAAGGGTCGCTTAGTAGGGAAAGATGGAACCTCGACGTCGTCGAAAGACCAGCGGTTGAAGAGTTTAACATCCTGCTGGATCTCCATTAGAGAGACGAGCGCAGCTACCCGTTTTCAAGCCCACGAACGAGAGCGAGGAGAACGAGCGCAAGCGATCGAGCGGCGGCGAGAAACCTACTGGAGAGGGAGGGAGAAGGGGTTTGCGTGCTTATGCTAACGACCTGACGAAGATCCAAACAAACGGACGGCTACGATGGATCCACGATGCTCACTGGCAATGCCAAATATAAAAGGAGATTAATATTTACCATCTCTTTTTGTTATTTAGCACCCAATTTTTGAATATTTCTAAATTATTTTTTTGTATTAATAGATGTATATTGTTTTATTTTATAATTTAATTTTAATAAAATCTTTTTATTCTTTATCTATAACCTCATTTCTTCTTCTCCTCCTAAATCTTAATCACCATAGGTAAATGAAAAAAAGACAAATGATGAAATGGGATGAATATGTGCGATGAGAATTGGATTATAATAAGATCATGATAGTGTGCCTAATTCACTTATAAACACATATTACTAAATATTCTCAGTCATATATTATTCGAGATGAATATCGAAATAGTTGGACAGACTAGTACGTTATATATTTGTCCATATGATATAAGCAGCTGATCTTATAACTGCTTATGTATGGACACTAGGAATATAGTGCAAATGCTCATTTGAGAATAAATTCACTAAATGATCCGCTTATGGAATGTTGAATGATTAATGATGCCTCATCGTTTGATAGTGATTAGTCGTATATATGGTCCTTACACTTTAGATATTAAAGATTTTTTATTTGAGTACTTTATTCTTTGATATCAGACTGTATGAAAGTTTCAAATTTAGTACAATTGGTCGGAAGTGATAGTCAATCTTATGAATATAATTAAGTATCAATAGAGGATTATCTACTCTCGGTATCATAAGAGGAATATCTTGTGTGTTCTCACTTAGGCAAATCTCTAGCCAGGGTCAATCGGATCATGATGAATCCAATAAGCATAAGATTCAGAGTAAGAGAGAAAGAGTTCTACGAAAGAATCTGATTAAAGTAAGTCTCGTATAGATTTCATATGGGCCTCATAACGCTATACCCGATATACGATCTCTGCCATACTACGTTTGTAGTCGTAGTCGATGAGTTAAGTGAATTATTATGAGGATAATAATTTACTGAATCAGAAAGAGTTCTGACTAGTGCAACTCACAGCTAGCTCGGTATCAGGCTTAGAGGGTCACACATAAATGACGGATGATGTGACGAATAGATGATTAGATATACGATATCCAATAAACCCCTGTTTTATTAAATCTATTGGGTGAAATCCAATAAGAGCTTATAATATATATTTGGATAGAGATCTAATTTCCATTAAGCTAGGGATAATTAGATGGAGATCTAGTATCTAATATGTCATGATAAGTGGATGAAGATCCAATACCTAATATGACAGGATCCATTATGATTAAGTTGAGAGAGCTTTCAATAAATAAAAGGGAGACCAAAGGGTCATGAGCTAAACTCCTTTGGTCACCTACCTCTTATCTTCTCATCCTATTTCTTCCCTTACCATTAGCCTCTATTTGGGTTGTAAGGACAATAAAAAGGGTTGACCCTTTCTTATTTTGTTGTTACATGATGGTATAAAAGTGAGGAAAGAACGTACTATGAGACGAGATCCGTCATCAATTTCATCAATGTGTGGAGCATAGCTAAAGAAGAGATTATGAGATCTCCTTCATCACCGTACTTAGATTTATAATATTAAGATATCTCGATCTCTCTTACGTTAGATTGTCTCATGTATCTTATGTAATTTTTGATTTTATGTAAGCATGTAGTGCTCTATGTAAAACAATTTCTAAATAGAAGTAAATCTCAACAGTAATTAAAATCTCAACAGTAATTAAAATGGTCAATTAGCAGCAGTACTTGTCGGTCACAGAAAAAGATTGGCAGTTTTTCTGAGTTTGTAAAATAAGATTGTATATTTTCTGAATGATGAACACGTGAGTCTAATGACAAAGAAGAATATATAGAATGTTCAATTGGTAGAAGTATTTAGGAGAAGCTAATTAGGTTGTTTTTTTTTTTGCTAAATAGAAGTAAATCTCTATTGAGATATATTGCATAAATGATAAATCTCAAATTTGAATTGACGTGTAAGCGTGATGTGCGTTAATGAAAATTCTTTTTACTGTCACAGCAAGATTTGGCAGGCTTTTTCAGATGATAAGAGCACTGAATCCTTTGAGACTAACAACAAAGAAGAGTTCTTTTTCTGCTGCATGAAAGTGCCTTTAGGCGCTGTTAATTGTATACATTGTTCGATTAGCAGAAGGATATACGTCTGCTTTCTCACCGCCCCCTCGAAGACATCTGGCTGAGGACACGACGAACACGATGAGGCGCCGAGGGCGACGACGACGACGGCGACGAGGTCCGTCGGGACCCATCATAGCCCATGCATGCGCAGGCCTGACGTAGAACATCCATCCTTGCCATGGATTATCTGTACCGTTGCACCCGAAGACACAGGAGGGTGGCCATGTGATGGTGATGGTGATGATGATGATTCCCCCATCAAGAGGACCACTTCATGCATGCATGATGTCTCGCCGTAAGTGAGCGTACGTATCTCAGTACAGACAAGCACGCATGATGTCTCCGCTTGGAATGTTTGCCACCTATCTATCAGTACATGCCCTTTCATTTTTCCATGTATGATATCACTGATATGACTCCCAAGATTCGCTCAACTGGTGGCCTATCACCCAAGTGTTGCTGTGATTCAGAAGTGTATCCCTTCCACGAAGTTGCCACTCAACATACTCTTCAAACCCTAACAGGGAGGATGAACACCAGTTCAAACCCTAATTCCCGAGGACAAAGAAAAGGGAGAAGCAGTGGGTGGCTATACATGCGTGTATGCAAAACCATCATCCCCTCAAGTTCAAACCACCGCTGAAGGATTCAGTGCTTCCTTGTGGCAAGGATTTTTGAGTGGTGGCGGGACATGAAGCTTTTGACCAGCCAAGCCCAGAGAAAGGACCAGATTTTTATTGCTCGGTCTCAAACGATTAAATGATTCAGGGGGAGGGGGGGGGGGGGGCGTCATGCATTTCAGTGCGTACATGATTGCAGGAGAGATGATAAAAGCTTGTACGTTGACATCTCCATGAATTTACTGTTTTTGCAGCACTGTCTTCCATCAGAACAACATATTAAATCTTGTCCACATTCTCCAGAGACAGATATTAAATCTAAATCTGACTTAAGTATGCTCAACACAAATGCACTTTGATGCAGTAAACAGTTTTTATGTATTTTTGCAGATTATAGAAGTCAGGGAAGATTAATATCTGACGACAGTACTGTAGCTTTTATTCCTATCTATCTTGCAATTAAGGAAGATTAGCTTCTCGGCTTGTCTGCAGCTGAGACATCTACTTGGGGATACTGCTTTACCAGTGTATTAATGGATGCTCGGCCTGGTTGCTCTCCAAAAGCTTAGACGTGGGTTCCACTACATTTATTGGTCCCAAAACCTAGTACAGTTTCTTATAGTAGTTATCTACGTTTCCCTTCAGAAAACAAAAGAACCACAATAGTTTTATGTCGATGGTATTTGTTGGCTGGTTGTGCGACTCTCAAATGTCATGCATTTTAATTACCAGGGAACAGTATGATGATACATGATAAAATGACTGCAGTATGTGGAGATCATCTGAAAGCCACTTCTAATAAGATAGCACATGACTCTCTACAAGTTCTTCAAGAAGTTTTGTCTTATAAATAAGGTAAAAGAAAAATGTTCATTTATTGTAGTGTCACAAAATACCACAGCATTCTTTTGGTGTCAACTGCAACATTAATACTCTTAGATTAGGATTCTGCAGCTCTATCTTTGTTCATGGTGCAAGCACAAGAGTTCTAAGCTACCAAACTGCAGATATCAACCACAACATTAAAAATATCTAAGCAATAGGAAGTACTAAACTACTTGATAGAAAAGAATTTAATGCTTTCACAGTTCCTATCATTTTTTCCTTTTTTTTTTCTCTCTCATTATGTACAATTACTCCTTTTCCATTTATTTTAGCACCATATAATAATGTTAAGATAATCTCCTGGCAATTTCTCCATCTTCACAAAATATATTACAGCATTCTTTTGGATTTGAAGCAGGAATATTGTTTGTGCAGAAAAGATAGGTTTCTAAGAACTGCTTTACCTTGAAATGAAAAAGTACGTAGAGCAAAAGCAAGTATTACCATGAGATCAAAGTGAAGATGAACAAGAAACTCATGATCATGTAACGTAGGGTAACTCAAATACATGGGGGAACAAAAGCCAATATGGTCTCACTGAGCTCCACGACGCAAAGCTGTTCAAGGTTTGGATGGGTCACCCGTGGCACACGCATCGGTAACGGTAGGCGCTGTTCATGGGGTCGCCGGCGTCCACCGGAACTTGCTCGGCTCTGCACTTGAGTCGACAACCTTTGCACTCGTTGTAGGTGCACGTCGGAGCTGTGGATCCTATCATCAGCCTCCTTGTACTCCGATCCCTCCATCTCCATGACCCTTCTGTGGTTGCCATCTCCTAAAATATGCACAATCGTGATACATGAATGTTGGTACCAACAATACAAGCTACATTTAGGTTTACAGTCCTACCGGTGATCTGCTGCCATGCTTTGGTGGAAGGAAACTTGTGTGAGCTACTTGTCCTGCAAAGCCTGCAATAGAACTTCTGAATCAAATGTCGTTGCAGCAAATCTTTGGAGAAAGAGAAGGAAAAGGAGTGGTCGTCAAAGAACTTGGAACCTGGTCGGCAAAGAGCACAAATGAAGACCATGGAGAAGAAGAAGAAGAAGAGGAAGAAGAGAAAGGTGTTATCGGAGGGGTTCTTTGAGGCCATATCTACTTCAAGATGCGGCAGAGAGGAAAGGAAAGATGGTGGAGTACAGTGGAAAAGAACAAGCAATCGCAACATATAAGGATGTGATAGTGGTGTAACTGTGACGCACTGCGATAGACTTCACGTCCCGTTGCAGCTCCATGCAACCAAAGCATGGAAGGGTCCCCCACCACAGACGGAGTGCTCTCATCAATTACTGTCGAGCAACCGGCTGATGGAT